GTGCGTAATGAAGAATCTAGTATTTCATTCTTTTTTGTGAACATGCTTAGTTTGAAAATTTCGTTTAGCATTACTAACTTATAGGTGGCTAAAAATCTGGCATAGCGTAAAAAGAAAAATACAAACAAATTGGGGCCCTGTCACTTTGGTTGGGGGATGTTTAAAGACTCTTTAGAAGTAAAATAAAAAGAAAAGATGCGATTTATAATCCAGAATTAGTTAACTATAACTGCCTGGATTTAATTATTAAAGAATACACGTAAGTTTACATATTAAAAAATTTTTTAACCCTCTGGAGACGGAGCCTTTTCGGGGTGTATGTGCCAAAAAGACGGAGCAATTTTTACGAGCTCGAGACTCGCATTGCAAAAAAATGTATAAAAAATAAACTATTCCCTTAATATATGTAAAACTATATATATTCTTGTAGGAAATTGAATGAACTAATACAATCTTTATGAATCAAACTGACATATCAAAATTTATGCAAATGAGGTACCCTTATTTGCATAATTTATGCGTGTAATTTTTTGTTACACCTGGAATAAACATGACTTACTTGTATCAATTGTGTGAATTTTTTGATGGATGAAGCCTGAATAAGTCCTAATACTTATTTTTTGGGGGAAAAGGGCCCATGAAGGCCCTTCAGACACCTCTGGCACATGGTTCTACTCCTTTCCCACCCCCACCCCCTATTTTTCAGTTGTTACAGACACACTGTAACAGGCCCCCATTTATAACCTAGGGACCTTCTCTTAAGCTGAATGTTACTGACAAATGTGTCTGCATATCAATTGGTCTCTCTCATTAACACTTGAGTGATATTTAGTGTAAAAAATAGCATAAAATACTCAAATGGGGTGCTTTGGTACCCTTATTTGCATAATTTATGCATGTAATTTTTTGTTACACCTAGAACAAACATGACTTACTTGTATCAATTGTGTGAATTTTTTTATGGATGAAGCCTGAATAAGTCCTAATACTTATTTTTTGGGGGAAAAGGGCCCATGAAGGCCCTTCAGACACCTCTGGCACATGGTTTTACTCCTTTCCCACCCCCACCCCCTATTTTTCAGTTGTTACAGACACACTGTAACAGGCCCCCATTTATAACCTAGGGACCTTCTCTTAAGCTGAATGTTACTGACAAATGTGTCTGCATATCAATTGGTCTCTCTCATTAACACTTGAGTGATATTTAGTGTAAAAAATAGCATAAAATACTCAAATGGGGTGCTTATGACTTATTTATAGGACTTATGTTGTCTAAAAATTCAGAGGGGTCATCTCTGTCCATTTGAGGACCCCTAATACTAGTAATACTAAACCAAGAGTTCACAACATTAGCATTACCCTCAATTTGAAAGTCTTCATTAATTCCCTGGTTGTTTTCAGCAGTTTCAGTGTCAAATTCACTGCTAGAATATCAAAATTACTAAGCACAGTTTGATCAGAGTCACTGTCAGACATGTTCGAAATTCACGATGTAACTACACACACACACACAAATTCCTGCAAACAAATAAATTGAGTTCACATTCAACGAACGCCGCCATTACAATGCCGGGATGTGCAGGAATACGTATGAATAATTTTGATTCGCTGGTACAACGCCAAGCCAGCCAATCGTGAGGCTCGATCTATCAGGCCGACGACTCGGACTTGACGTCTTTCTCGCTAGTGTACCTCGGGCCGATAGATCGGCCCTTACGTCTCCAGAGGGTTAA